CCCAAAGCGTATAATGCAGAGCAGAACTGTCCACTGAGTAGGAGATGTCATGTGTATACTTTTATACGACTAGGTAGATTTGAGTCGGTTACAACTTCTCTATAACTCCTCATACTGATTGGTTATTAGCATGGCACCAGGTATTCCACCAATTAAGAGACATACCCATGGTGGAATCTGAAAAGTTCCTGCTATTGTTAGCATTGTCTAACATTAAGTCACCTACTCACTCTCTCCTAAAATGAACCAAAAATTATATTGTGAGCACTAGATCCGAGAGTGGGAAAAAGAGACATTAATGGGTTCACAGACAAAAGAATATAGAAATGCAAAAGAACAAAAAATAAAACAAACGAGAAATAAAAAGGACCATAGTGAGATGGGTCCAAACCAGTTATTTGCCTCTGAAGAAAAGAACAAAAATAATATTGATTTGTAAAATGCCTAATAAAGACAAAATAAAAACAAAAAACAAACAATTTTTCTCAGAAATTCATATATTTAGATAATTATAATATTGTATGTATTAATTGAAAGACCCAGTAAACCATATCTGTTAGATATGTTGATGATCACCAGAATCTCCTTGTTTGTGTTGTTGGTCACTATAAGAGTCAGAGGCTATAGTAGCCATTATTTTAGATTATGTGATTATGGTGAACTACGCTGCTTTCCCACCACAGCCTAAAGTCCTTTATTTGTCTTGTGATGGCTATTACAGCAGATTTGCACGCTTGGCATCTACCTTTTTTTTTTTGCTTTACAGACTGCCCGGCCCTGACTGTTACGTTCTGGGAAACTGTTGCCTACTGCAGATTTCATCATCCTGGTTTGCTATTTTGTGATGAGTACAAAGAGTGGATGATATTGAAATGTACTTGACCTAGTTTTATTTTTAGATGTTAACTGCCACTTAATGTCAACTACATATTTGTCATGAAAATTACCCTTCGCTATTAATAGGACTTAATGCTAGCATTAGAGTCTTTAAGCCTGGCTGTGTGAAAAAACACTTACATATAAAATGATGTAATGTACAATAATATTATAATAATAATTAAAAAAAAACACACCATAACCGGTGATATGAAGTGGTCACGGTGCCCAGAGTCTGTATGTGCAGTGTTTCACTTTACAATAACCCCTCAGCTGTTGGAGGTATAACACCACCTCTGGCAGTGCCATTAGGCAGCCCAGAACATAGAAGTAAGTATTAGCATATCTTTATTTATTTTTTAAAGGAGAAGTTTAGGCACCATAACAACTACATCTAAATAAAGTGGTTTTAGAGCCAGAAGGTCCCTTGTACTGGCTCACCTTAACATGATAAGCCATTCTTAACCAGTATAACCCCCAAAGTCTGTGTTCCAGTGCCAAATCTCGCTGCCTCTCTGTCCTTCCGTTTTCAACACAAATCAGGAAACCGGAAGGTTCTTGCAGTGGCATTACCGATTGGCCTAGAGCAGTCACGTGACGCTCTCAGCGATTCCCAATTCATAAAACTGGCTTGAAAAAGGTAAGTTCATTTTTAAGCCAGTTTTATGAATGGGGAATCACTGATTGACAGTGTGCCAGCTGACAGTTGAACCCCTTAAGGTCAGCCAGCGCCAGGGACCTCGTGGCACCATAACTTCATTTAGATTAAGTGTTGGTGCCCAGAGTGTTCCTTTAATTTTGGGGGGTGACCAACTTCACAAAAGGCTACTCTACTTAAAACCAGCTTTTTCTGAAAACATTGATTTTTGGTCTTGAGTAACCCATTCAGAAGGAAATAATAGAGAAGTTAGACGATTCATGCTGTGTGATGGACGAATCTACTCACCACAACTAAACTAAATATGCCATAAAGCCCTACAGTTTTGTAAATGAAGCCGTGCACAGCATTCTCCCGAACTGCCAATCAAGCAAATATGCAGCTCATGGTCTTTAAGTGTTAGTAAAGGGAGTTTAGGATATACTCTGTAAAAGTTGACAGGGGCAGGGGGGTTTATGACTCTTGGTGTGTGACTCTTATTACAGTTCAACACGTTCCACAAAGACAGCAACCTGGTGATGGAGGTTCATGGTAGATGTAGATATACAACAACTAGAATCTGGTCGAACAACTCCCACATTAGTCTGCATATTTGACAGTTTAAATTTGAAATTTTAATTATTTTTCCTACGCAAATCAAAAATGCATGGAATAGCAAGTCCAAAATAATGAACTATTCAACTACTCTAATATTTATTTGTATTTAGACATAACATACCATGTTAAAATTAACCTTTCAACTCTCTGAGGTTTCTTACAAATAGTATAAATAGGAAAAAAAAAATATTAATATATTAAGATATTTTTCCTGAAATTCCAAAGCTATTAAAAGTATGTGTTTATGCTTAAGAAAAATCCATCAAACTGATGAGTTTACACTGTTTTGCCGGTATTCCCCAATCATCTTAATGAAGTTGTAATGGTACCTGTAGGTCCTGGGCACAGTCTTACCTTAACCAGTTTAACGGTTTTCAAACCTTGAGTGGTCTTTTAAATGTACTATTGCGTGGTCATGAGCTTTTTGTTTTTTTTATTAAAGCATTATTAATGCTTAAATAAAAACCATCTTGGGTTTACATTCAAGTGTACAGTTTCACTTATTCTCTTATTTTTAAACACAAAACATATTTCCGGGATGATTTTAAACAAGGGAAGCGACTTACAGCTTCCTAGTAAACGTTACAAATCAGAATGATGCTAAGTGTTTATATGTGTGCACAACCAAGGCTGGTTCAGCGTGTTCTGTAAGAATTTGCTGTGTTATTTAGCTCATGGTGTGGTTTTACAACTTTCTGAAGAGTGAACATTACCAGAAATACGCCGTCTTGTCCCCCAGGTTTTTCTCCAGGACAATTCTGTCCAGAACATTGTAACATACATTGGTTTTCGCTCCTTTCATAAACTCCACAAATATCTTGCCTTTGGTAATGTCAAAATTATAATCCAGCACCTTTCCAGAAGGGGGTGTTTGCCAGTAGAATTCTGAAGCAACTTCCATCCAGAATTCTTCATAGGACAAGAAGTAAAAGGAAAGAAGATGGGGGGAGGAAAGGAAAATAAAGATAGAAATAAAGTCAAAAAGCAATAACAGTATTCAAAATATGAATATGCATTTATAATTTTAAGAAAATATTATAACTTTATTTTTACAACAAAAAGGTAATAAAGCATCCCTTTCTAGTCTCAGATAATTAAAATACTAGACTGATTTAAAATAAATATAAAAAAGGAGTATATATTAAATTACATTGTGTAAATTTGAGTAGAAGAGCAATGGTCTATATTTATAGACAGACATTATATTTATTTATCTATGTTCTCCTATTTCCCCCAGATGTGAGCTGCCAGGAGGCTGAGGATGTTGTATAGAAGGAGTAATAATAATAATAATAATACCTTGTGAGTTGTGGATGGATTTGAGGTATAGTTCATTGTATTTGCTGAAGCTGGAGATGTATGCATGTTCCTGCAGGGGTGCAGGAGGCGGATAGATTGTCAGCTCCTCTGCCCCAGCCTCCTCCCCGGCTGCTTTCACCTGGCTTGGCATGCTGGCTGCTAGAAATCACCGAACCCTTCAATGCAGCAGGCGTGTAATGACAGTCAGTGGCGGCAGGAGCAGCAGCAGCCAGGTAATGGGAGAGGGAGCTCAGACAGGGAGAGCGCGGGGAGTGACGGGAGAACCTGTCAACAGCTAATCCCCTCCCCTCCTGCTGCTTGCTCCAAAGGAAGAAACTCGCCAGGCTGAGTATTGTCATGCGGCAACAGCCAATCACAGGGCGCCTGTGCTCACACCTTCTTTGCGATTGGCTGGCGGCGCTCGGCTCATCTATGGCCATTGGAGGTAAGGGAGATGGCGAGCGGCGCGCGGTGGAGTCAGCGGGCGGAGGAGAGGGGCGGGTCTGAGGGGAAGAGGTGAGAGTGCGTCCACCGTGAGACCCCAGTCTGGTCACAATCACTGTGAGACCCCCAGGCCGGTCACAGTCACTGTGAGACCCCAGGCCGGTCACAGTCACTGTGAGACCCCCAGGCCGGTCACAGTCACTGTGAGACCCCAGGCCGGTCACAGTCACTGTGAGACCCCCAGGCTGGTCACTGTGAGACCCCCAGGCTGGTCACTGTGAGACCCCAGGCCGGTCACTGTGAGACCCCCAGGCTGGTCACTGTGAGACCCCAGGCTGGTCACTGTGAGACCCCAGGCCGGTCACTGTGAGACCCCAGGCCGGTCACTGTGAGGGGCTCTGTGATGGCACTGTGAGACCCCAGGCCGGTCACTGTGAGACCCCAGGCTGGTCACTGTGAGGGGCTCTGTAATGGCACTGTGAGACCCCCAGGCCGGTCACTGTGAGACCCCCAGGCCGGTCACTGTGAGACCCCCAGGCCGGTCACTGTGAGACCCCCAGGCCGGTCACTGTGAGACCCCCAGGCCGGTCCTGAGACCAGGCAGTCCTGTGAGGCTCTCTTAATGGCACTGTATGAGACCCCAGGCGGTCACTGTAGCAGAGACTAGGCAGTCACTGTGAGACTCCCCAGGCGGTCACTGTAGAACCCCAGGCGGTCACTGTAGCCCCCAGGCCAGTCACTGTAAGACCCCAGGCTGGTCACTGTGAGGGAGCTCTGTGATGGCACACTAATGAACCCCAGGCGGTCACTGTGAGGCTCTGTGTGCTTTGCTTGAGACTTAGGCAGTCATGAGGAAAGCAGTGGCACTGTGAACCCAGTCACAGTCACTGTGAGACCCCCAGGCTGGTCACTGTGAGACCCCCAGGCTGGTCACTGTGAGACCCCCAGGCTGGTCACTGTGAGACCCCCAGGCCGGTCACTGTGAGACCCCCAGGCCGGTCACTGTGAGACCCCCAGGCCGGTCACTGTGAGACCCCAGGCCGGTCTCTGTGAGACCCCCAGGCCGGTCACTGTGATGGCACTGTGAGACCCCCAGGCCGGTCACTGTGAGACCCCAGGCCGGTCACTGTGAGATGGCACTGTGAGACCCCAGGCCGGTCACTGTGAGGGGCTCTGTGATGGCACTGTGAGACCCCAGGCCGGTCACTGTGAGGGGTTCTGTGATGGCACTGTGAGACCCCAGGCTGGTCCCTGTGAGGGGCTCTGTGAGACCCCAGGCCGGTCACTGTGAGGGGTTCTGTGATGTCACTATGGTAAATGACTGTGTCTGATTACAAATATCTTCAGGGGATGACTATGATAGGGTTAGTGTGGCAAGGTGAGGGGGTGAGTGTGACATGAATTGGGAGGTTGAGTTGGCACGGTAGGTTAGTGTAACAGTGTTGAGTGTAGCAGGGTTAATGGGGTGAGTTTGGCAGAGTTCGGGAGTGAGTGTGGCAGGGCTGAGGGGTGAGTGTTACAGAGTTAGGGTGGCAGTGGCGAGGAGGAGTGAGTGTGATTGAGTGAGAGGGATAATTTGTGACAGGATGAGGGGGTGACCATGTATAGAAGCTAAGTGTGTGTGGGGAGTGACCGTATTATTATTTATAAAGCGCCAACAAATTCCGCAGCGCTGTACAATGGGTGGACTAACAGACACGTATCTGTAACCAGACAAGTTGGACGCACAGGAACTGAGGGATTGAGGGCCCTGATCAATGAGCTTACATGCTAGAGGGAGAAGGGCATAGTGACACAAAAGGTTAGGGTAGAGCGGATGGTAGTGCCATTGACTTGGAGGGAAACAGACAAGGGAGTAGCAACACTTGAGGGAGGAAAGACCAGAAGTTCTGTTTTGGACAAGTTCAGTTTAAGGAAGTGAGCACCCATCCAGTTTGAAATAGCAGAGAGGCAGTCAGAGACACGAGTCAAATGGGGTGGTGAGAAATCAGGGAAGGACAGATAAATTTGTGTGTCATCCTCATAGAAATGGTACTGGAAGCCAAAGGAGCTAATGAGTTTACCAAGGGAGGCAGTGTAGATTGAGAACAATAGGGGACCAAGGACAGACCCTTGGGGAACACCAACAGAGAGGGATTGGGGAGAAGAGGCATGCCAGAGAAAGAAACACTGAAAGAGCGCTGGTAGAGGTAGAAAGAGCACTAGGAGTGAGCGGTATCTCATAGACTGAGATTACTGAGGATGAGAAGAAGCTGTTGATGATCAACAGAGTGACGAGCGTGGAATCCAGATTGAAGCGGGTCAAGCAGAGAGTTGGATTCAAGGAAGTCTGTCAATCTAGCATACACAACTCTCTCAAGGATCTTGGAGGCAAACGGCAGTAGCGAGATAGGGCAAAAGTTGGATGGTGAATTGGGGTCAAGGGTGGGCTTTTTCAGAATCAGGGTAATGGTTGCATGTTTGAAGGGTAGAGGAAATATGCCAGAGGAGAGGGAGAGATTGAAAATTTTAGTGAGAGGCAGAGCAAGAGAAGGAGACAAAGTGCAGATGAGATACGAAGGAATAGGATCGAGGGAACATGTGGTGGGGCGGGAGGAATAGAGCAGAGCAGGAACCTCTTGGGCAAATGAGCAAAGGATGGCTGGGGGAGTGTGGTTAAGGGAAAAGTTGGTAGTGGATGGATTGTAGAAATCTCAGTGAAGTGAGTTGCAAAGTATGTGGGGAGGGAACTTTAGATACAGTCTCCCCAAACTGTAATTCCCCTTATTTTTATATAGCTTTTACCCCCCTTCCCAGAAATGGGGATAATAATAGGTTTCCTGGTAGTCCAGTGCAATCCCTTTGCAACATCAAGTCTGTGTTCTGACACCATCACTGAGTGCCAGAACCAGAAGGGACTGCAAAGGAATCAGTTTTATTTAATCTTTTGATCTCCGCAGTCCGAGGAGGGCCCGTTCAGAGCTGGGCTACAGGTTCAGATAGTTACCTAATGTGTAATTCGACTCTGGTGTCATCTAACTAATGCCACATGCATTATTTTTTGGCCAATGAAAAAACAAAACATTAATACTTAGTGGAAAATTATGGTATTTGCATTTCTCTGCATTATGTGTGTCTACTGAGCTAAGAAGTATTTTTAACACCTCTTATACAATTTGTGCCCACCTAATATAACAGAATGCCTCTCTGGTGTTCACTGTATTGCCACATGCTTAACTGGTGCAGCAATTGTCTACTCACTCCTGTAATCAATACTGAAAAAATGCACTCATGCAATGGCAAATAATATTCAGATGCACTTTGAGGTAGCTGGATGATAGATTCTTTACATCCTCTGTGTGAAGTATGAAGCTATCTGTTTATCTACTGCATGGAAAGTTCATGTATGTATATGGCAATTTTTGAAAAAATATTTTGTCTCTTTTCCTTTCTTGTGTCATTCTGCAAAGGAGATGGGAAATACATGCTTATTGTCCATGGTTGTAAAAAAAAAAAGTTCTAAATATTTTAACAGAATGAGTTCATAGTACTCTTTAATTGTCTTTTCTGCCTGCAGGCCTATATCACTCACTCCCCCAGAGGGATTCTTATAAAAGGAAGAGCAAAAGGTGATGCTGGAGGCAGTGGGTTACTGAGATTTTTGTAGGCAAGTAATACATTTACTGGTAGTTATGTAATGGCTTGTGTCAATGCCTTTCTCATGGTTACATAGTACTGTATATAGTTACATAGTAGTCTAGGTCAGTGTTCCCAAACCCAGTCCTCATGGACCACCAACAGTCCAGGTTGATTGAATACAAAGTTAAATCCATCAAGTTAAATTTTGAACCCCCTTCTTTTATACTGATCCAAAAAATCTAATTGTAGCCAATTCCAGTTATGCCAGTTATCAGGTAAGTGATAAGGGTAGAGGCAATAAAAGTAAATAGAACACAACTTTGCTTTCCTAGCACTATAGATTTCCTTTAATGCTGCTCAGTAAACTATTATCACAAAAACCCTCACAAAAGAGAGTGAGCAACGTACCGGAGCGGACGCACATTGCCGGGGCTCCGAGGTACCGCACGGCAATCCGGCAACATTGGAGGCATCTCATATTAATCCCGGCCACACATTCAGCCACAGACCGCAGGGAACCCCACTGCGACCACCGATGCCGTTTCTCCTGACACCCGGCTCAAAAAAATAGACGCGAGGCGGCAAGGCATACCGGGCGGGGAGGCAGCACACACAGCTCAGGTGAGATGGGACGCAGAAACTGCCCCAAAATGCCCCGAAACCGCAGCGCGACATAGGCCAAATGTTACAGGCCCCAGGCGCAGTAAAGGCACAGACCCCCCGTGAAACATCACCGGTACCATCAGAGGAGGGAGAACCGCTAGACAGCCCACACCTTAATCCCCAACACCCCACACACACGTGGATGCCAGAAGCCAGCGCACCGGCCTCAAAACAAAATATACAGGCTATGCTGACAGGCCTGCAAAAGAACTTAAGACAAATGTGGGAAGCGGACCTGGCTGTGCTTAAACTAGACGTGCACGCCGTGTCCACGCGCACTCAGGCGGTAGAAGAGGAGGTAAAGGGACTAAGAGAGAATTACCAGGAACTGGGGGAGAAGGTGCGACACCTTCAAGCTGCACAAGCGACAATGTCCAGGCAAGTTACCCTCCTAGATGACAGAGGGCACTGAAAAAACATAAAATTCTGAGGGGTACCTGAATCAATACCGCTGGAAGAGTTGCCACACTTCACCAGATGCCTTGTGGCCACACTCCTGCCGACTAGACAATCCAAAACGTTCCAGTTCGACGGGGTTTACAGGATAGCCAAATCCCCACAAGCACCCAACTCAGCCCCACGGGACATAATATTGAGATGCCAATCAATGTTGGACAAACTGGGGCTAATGGCAGCTATCCAAGGGAAGACACCTCTTGACTTTGAAGACAGCAAACTCTTTCTTTCAGGACTTGAGCAGGGCCACACTGATATGGCGCAAAAGTATGCAACCAATCACCAAACAACTCCAAGCCGCAGGAGTCGCCTATAGATGGGCAACACCAGGAACTCTCTGGATCACTAAAGATGACAAGCACTACAGGGCCACCGACCACACAGAGGGCCCAGCACTGATGACCGCATTGGGAATATCGAACCTCGCAGCGACCTCAGCAACACAGCCAGATCATCGACCAGAGACAACGAGCACAGATTCATCCGCAACCCCTGGAACAAGCAGAGGCCCGAAAACCAAAACCTGAACTAACTGCCTCACCGACGGCCTCATAGGCCTTAGTTTAATTAGTTTAAATATTTTACGTTAATAAGACTGTTCATCTAAGTTATATGTAGTTCTCCCACACTCTGACGGCCATTACAGTGCTAAAAAGGCCCACCAGAGCCAAGCACACCAGCTCCGATAACAATCCCCCCCCACCCCCCTCCCTGGGGTTAATGGGAAACTACATCAAGGGCAACATAGTATCCCTGACTGGAATCAAGCTCACCGCAAGGTCTGATACCCCTAGCCTAAAGCCCCAAGGGCACAACTTGATCCTGTCACACTACAGCGACTTATATATATACCTAGACACAAACTTCTGGTTACTACACTGACTAGGAACAACCTGCAGCTACCACTAGGGCCAAAAAGACACCTTTGGACACCTAGAGCACCGCACACATGGGTACCCACCAATAGCTACAATCAGGGACAAAAAGAGGAGCGGACATAGTCCTAGAAAGGGCACACATAGAGAGACCCCGCAACTACCGCAACTCGCTTCCTGTCCAAACTCGGAAGGGCCAAGAGACACACCCAACACCCATAACTTATAGTCGCACGATCTGGAATTGGGAACAGCCACTGGACTTAGCTGTAACTGCCTTCCCCCCTCCACCCACGACTCCACAGAACTTAGGGTGTCTTAGGCAGACAGAAGTCTTCCACCCCCACAGTTATTAGATTTCAAAACCTCACTATAACAATGTGACCTATTGTAAATATAAAATGTGTGTGACTAGCACACAACAATGCCTTGTATTTAATATGCACTGATTCTACTCGTTGTGTCGAGGCTGTTGTGGCCAAATTCATGAATCTGTTACCTTTCCACATGAAAAATAAAAACAAAAAAAACAAAAGAGAGTGTTTTTAATAAATCCTGAATGTGTGTATATAAAGAAATATTTCAAGCACTATATCTACTACAGCCCCTTATAGTGGTTATGGTCTCAGGAGTGCCCTGGCACCTTCCCAGGGTAAGCAGTCAAACAGCTTGAGAATGGTTTGACAACTTACTTGGAGTCTACTTGCTGCACAATAGTAAATGTCTTGTGCCCAATGGACTGCAGGTAAGTTTGAAGCACCATGCTTTATAACTTCAATTAAAGTTTTATAGGGTATGGCGGTCCTGGGCTTTGTCATACTTTACAAGGGTAAACCGTTTTCAAACAGTTTAACCCCAAACTTCTCTCAATGTAACCTGCTTGCTCGACCCTTTTGCTTTTCCTCAGGCATCGCAGGACTCCAATGTGGAAGATTTCCCCTTGGATATTGTAATAGACTGAATGCATCAGCTCCCACACTCAGCCTATGACTTTCTGTCCATACAGAGAAATTCTTTAGAAAAGTATATAACAAGGTTATCTATGAAAGTGAGACTTCAAAGTGAATTTCAAATTTAAGGCCAGAGTAGCCGAACTGTAGGCATAGCCGACTTATAGATACATTTTCCTGTTAAGCTATTTTGACTTTTAAAGGGACACTCCAGGCACCCAGACCACTTCGGCCCATTGGAGTGGTCTGGGTGCCAACTCCCACTACCCTTAACCCTGCAAGTGTAATTATTGCAGTTTTCATAAACTGCAATATTTACCTTGCAGGGCTAACTCCTCCTATAGTGGCTGTCTACTAGACAGCCACTAGAGGGCACTTCCGTGTGTATAGTACACATTCCGTGTGCTATAGCGTTGCTGGACGTCCTCACGCTATGTGCATTGAAAGCATTTTTCAATGCTTTCCTATGGGGAGGTCCAATGCGCATTAGGTCTCCCCCGCCGGCGGCCGCGCATGCGCAATAGGAGCATGGGGGGACCCTGAACCAGCGCCGAGGGACATCGACACTGGATACAGGTAAGTCACTTGGGGTGGGGGGGGTGGGAAGGGGAGGGGACCTGCAGTGCCAGGAAAACAGTTTGTTTTCCCGGCACTGGAGAGTACCTTTAAATTTGAAATGCACTTGAAATTTCACTTTAGTAAATAACCCTGTAAGGGTTGTATTAACTACGTATCAGATTGTAGTGAACTAAATACCAAACTGCAACATTTTAGTGTAAAATAGACCAGTTTTAACTATTGTTTTTTTGTAAATTTTGCACTTTTTTCTGTTCACAATTACAATAAATTATTTGCAACTCAAACAAAAAGTAGCCTTTTTATTGTGTCCTGGTAGAGTTGCTATTGCATGTAACTGGAAAATACAACTTTTTGTCCAAAACTTTAAATTTTCTAAATTGTAAATGCTAAGAAGTGGACCAAGGAAGCGTGTCAGGATTTTGTACCTGAAAACATCTGTTGGCTTTTGGCATTAACAATACTCAACCACTGCTTTTTATTGACAAGTGCTACATTGACTACAAAAATATTTTTACAACCAACCCAGCATACTTTATATATACAAACACATATATACACATTTTTACTGCGGGTTATGTGCACAAAGGGTTAATGTGAGAAACTGCTGAAAATACTACGGGTATATTGTGAAAAGTTTTAAGTTTTGTTTTTTTTAATTAATACTTGCAGATTAAAGGGATCCTATAGTGCCAAGAAAACAAACCCATTTTCCTGGCACTATAGGCTCTTGGAGTGCCCCCCTCCCTCGGCACTGAAAGGGTTAAAACCCCTGCAGCCACTTACCTTAATCCTGCACCAGGCTCCCTCGGCGCTGGTAAACTCAGCTCCCCACCGACGTCTGCTCCCGAGTGGAGCCAAATGCGCATGCACGGTCAAAGGCGCGCACACATTAAATCCCGTCCATAGGAAAGCATTACTCAATGCTTTCCTATAGGGATCTTATTTGACGCTGGACTCCGTGCGTCCAGCGTCAAATAAGTGCGATTTACTCCGTGTAAATTGGGGAAGCGCCTCAGGGAGACAGCCTCTAGAGTCTGGATTAACCCTGCGGTATATACAAAGCAGTTTCTCTGAAACTATGTTTTCAGCTGCAGTGTTAAAACTTGGGGGACCTGGCACCCAGACCACTTTTATTGAGCTGAAGTGGTCTGGTTGCCTATAGAGGAACACTTTTTTTTTTTTAAATTTCATGTTTTATTAAGTATTTTCAAGACATGACAATGGAAATAATAAGAAAACATTTCATGTCACTAGAGAATAGTAACATAGGGAAAAAAACAAAAAGCTGCGTTTACAAGTTTACAGAGTATCCATACAATAAATTACATGAAGAAAGATTATTACTTGGCAATTGTCACATTAGGATGTGATATAACATGCTGCATATCCCCCCATGCCCACCTCTCCCCTCCACCCCCCTGAAAAAAATCAACAAGATAATTGAAAGAAACTCAATTTTGCCCCAATATTGTCATGTACAGCACAACATATCAATATTTTGTGTATATATATACTCTTTATGTTTATGACAGACAGATATAGATGTGCAAATAGGCATAGTTATACATGTAATCATTTTATTATTTTTATGTATGGGATTTGTATTCCAATTGTTAATTCTCAATCATCAAGTTTCTGTGTATTACTTCCTTGCTGATATATATCCTAAATTCCCTAAGGTAGTTCCTATTCTGTTACTTATGAGAAGATCGGTCGTTATACTCCTAATATGTAAGATGCTTATTTTAAAATTTAATATATAAAGAAATAGTTGTTTAAGGCAATTTCTATTTTAGCGATTCTCAGGGGTATCTATCAACGCTTCATTTAGCCTCCACTTGCCCCTTCCTCGAGCTGCATGAGGCGGCTTATTTTAATGGGAGCATGGTTTGACCATGTACGTAAACCTATGATAACATCTGTGACATTGGAAATTGTGGATTTCACCACAAGGCACATATCAATATGTGATTGTGATGTATGTACATGGGAAAAATAAGTAATCTCTAGCAGAGGGGTATAAATTACTCCATGTATCATGCAAATCATTAGAATGCAGTAAGTTCGCTAAATGGCTACTAAGATTAAATGAAGCCGAAGTACATGGTTTGTTATGACTTCTCTGTATATCCAATAAGGGATCTAGTGTGCTGTTAAAGTCACCGCATATAATAACATGTCCCTTCTTCTGTGCAATCTTGCGGAATGCACCTTGAAAAAAGGTTTGTTGTGATTCATTGGGTGCATATAGGTTTACTATTGTTAGTTGTATGCCATTCAGAATGCCCAATAAGATCAGAGTCCTGCCATTTTTAACATCATATAGTTTTTCAAGAGTGAAGGACCAATCTGCATGAAAATAAATAGCAACACCTCTTGATTTATGAGGAGAGTAAGCATGGAATGCCTTAGGGTATTTCTGACATTTTAACTGAGGAAACTTAAAATTGCTGCTTCTGAGTTATGCATGTCTTGGAGCGCCATACATCTTTTATGAGGATGGTTCAAACCCTTGACATTATGAGAGAGAATTTTAAGTTGGGTAGTCGTCATGTGTCAGATCTAAAAAGTTATGAAAAGCACCAATCTAGCGGGCACAGCTCAAGCTTAACAAAGTGTAAACGTATTTGGTCCCTTCCAAAAATATCTTTAAGTAAGAAAGGCAGCATGTGTTTGTTTCACATTTTTCCCTGCCTCTCTATATTATGTATAATAGCAATTAAGTAAGATCTCATATAAGCACTTCCTTCCATGGATGAGGGGTGAGGAACTAGGTACATAAGTAAGTAAGTAAGTAAGTAAATAAATAAATAAAAAGGAAATAAAGAAAATCTATAAATATATACAAAGAGCTCTTATCATTAAGAGCCAACAGTGAGGCTGTTCTTGAATTGGTAAGGCCAACATCGATTCTTGAATACTCAGCCTTGGGGGGGAAAACTTAAAGTCCCAATTCAGAGCCCCCTCAAAAAAATTCTTGAGTGGGAAATTACCGACATAGTGGTGCATATAGCATAAACCAGTGAGAATTGTTGTAAAACAAAAATACATAATAAAATATATTATCCATCCTTTTCATTAACCTTTTTCTCTAATCATCATAATTAGTGATGTCCCGAACAGTTCGCTGCGGACGGCGAACATATGCGCTGTTCGGTCCGCCCCCTATGTCATCAGTGAGTAAACTTTGACCCTGTACCTCACAGTCAGCAGACACATTCCAGCCAATCAGCAGCAGACCCTCCCTCCCAGACCCTCCCAGCTCCTGGACAGCATCCATTTTACATTCATTGTGAAGCTGCATTCTTCGTG